GAACCCGCGGGCTCAGGCAATCCACTCACCTCAGCCTCCCAAAGGCGAGGGATTACAGGCTGAGCCACCGAACCTGGCTGGAGAACAACTTTAGACCAGGAGTTCTGGACCAGTCTGGGAAACACAGTCAGACCCCGTCTCTACAAAAAAGAATAGCAAGAAGAAAAACAAGAAGTTGTGAAATAGAAGAGTTATGAAAAGAAGAGGTATGGAAACAGAAGAGAGCCACTGTCACAGAGACAACAGAACATACACAATACAAGGAACAAAAACCAGACGATTGGTCATACTCAGCATGGCTCCTACAGGTGCACTCTAGGTGCCATTCTCAAACGAGTTTATTCTTCATCTGGCAAACAGTAAATCGCTTCTTCAGGCTCAGAATAAAAACATCAGTTGAAACCTTTTGCATACTGAATCATCAAAAAGCAATGGCGCAAAAGCATGAGACGCGCCTGCCTAAATTATGGTACCTAGTCTAGCGGGTCACAAGCTTCCCCACATATTGTAATCCCCTGGAAACTTTAACAAAGTCTAATGCCTCAGTCCTGCCCACGAAGATTCTGACTTAAGTGGTTTGAGATGTGGCTTGGGTATGGGAAATTCTAACAGCTACTCAGGAAATCTGAGCCCACAGCCAAGCTGAGAACCACTAATTGGCCAAGTTTTGTAAAATTCATTTCCACTGAAAGACAAACATTTAAAGATCCCAACGCTAGGGGGAAAAAAAACCCCCAAAATACAAAAGAAAAATAAATAAATAAATAAAGATCCCAATGCTTAATGGAGAGGCAAAAGGTTTTTCTGAGTAAACACAGCTATCTGGGCTTTGTGAATCCTTGCAAAGGCGGTGAGGTTTTGAACTCATAATGGCATCATTAGGCTAACTATTCCTGTAAAACCATCCAAAGCCTAAACAGATTTTTTGCTTTTTAAACAAATGCTTTTAATGTTGGAGGAAATAAATTTCTTATGGTAATGTGAATTAATGTCTATCATATGAGATATTGATGATCTTGGATTGCATAATTAGCATAGATTGACATTCCTCCTGTGTGCTAACGGGAATTTTTAAAACTTTTGTTATTAGAAAACACTATCACCTTAATTTTCAAAGATGAATGGGTGGACATAATTTTTTCTTTCACTGTCTCATTTTTGGCCTTTAAGAGTTTTTTGTTTTGTTTTGTTTTCAGAGTATAGAAATAACTGAGATCAGCAGATAGAGATTAAAGAAAGAATTTACGCTAAAAAAACAGAGTTAATTTCAGGAAGTAGTTTTGTCACCCATTATTCCACAGTGTTACTTCATGGATTTGTACTATAAATCAGCAAGTTTACTCAGAATAAAATCATTATTATAAAAGAGACTTTGTGTGAAGGTTGATCTACTACAAAAAATGTATTACAGGATTTTTTATTTTATTAAATGTATATACATCTATCTATCTTTCTATCTATCTATCTATATTTTGAGTCAGTATCTCACTCTGTTGCCTATGCTGGGGTGCAGTGGCATGCTCATAGTCACCACAGCCTTGACCTCCTGGGCTCAGACGGTCCTTTTGCCTCAGTCTTCTAAGTAGCGGGAACTACAGGCATGCACCACCATGCCTGGCTAATTTTTTAATTTATTGTAGAGATGAGGTCTTGCCAAGTTGCCCGGGCTGATCTTGAACCCCTGGGCTCAGGCAATCCTCTCACCTTAGGCTCCCAAAGTGCTGGGATTGTAGGTGCGAGCCACCACTCTGGCCCTTTTAAATATTGCCTCTCTCAGAACTTCTCTTCAAATTCAAGCATTAGGCAACACCTCGAAGAAAACTGTGTCATGTTGAGACAGGCAGAGTTAGCAGAGCACACAGCTTAGATGTAGTTAGGCAAGTTTTCTTAGGCAAGTCTAATTTAGATAATTAAGGAACAGGTGGTTAAGCACTCAGGTGTTTTTCTTATTGGTATATGACCTTCGCCCAAATGGCTGGGCATTTCAGACCTGACCACCTTGTAGATTGGAATGTGGAATTACCAGTATAGTAAATCACGGAAGGAATGAGGAATTACCCAAAACACAGAGGCAAAATGTTCTAAGAAAAGCCCAAATCTAGTTAGGCAGTAACTTTCATTATTTAGAAGGTCCCGGTGACCTTAAAAGCTTAAAAGATAGTAATTAAAACTTGCAATCAAATTCCTGCAGCCCCCTACTCTTAACTTATGGAACAGTTTGCATAATCAACATTGTAGACATTATACAAAACTTTCTGGTAAAGGCAAGTGTGTGCCCCTCTTTCTAAGATGCCCTTGTTCTCCCCTGAATGTGTTTTCTGCTCTGTGATAAACCATACTTTGATTCTCTCCATGACTTGCTCTTGAATTCTTTCTTGTGGCAAAGTCAACAACCCATGGAGCAACTACCTCCTATACAAACCAACATCAATGTGAGTGGAAATTTCATCTCTGATGATAATGTGTAGGTTTTGAAAAAGATGATCTACCTCTCACTAAAATTAAAAAATAAAAGATTCACCCTTACTGCATATGAAAAGTGTATATAAGAAAAACAAGCACCAAGTTGACAGCACTAATGATGAAAAAATAATGTTGAGAACTAAACTCTCATCCTTTTTCTTTACCTTGCCTTTTTTTTTTTTTTTTTTGAGTCGGCCAGGCTGGAGTGCAGTGGCATGCTCACGGCCACCCTAGCGTTGACCTGCTGGGCTCTGGTGATCCTTCTGCCTCAACCTTCCAAGTAGCTGGCACTACAGGTGTATGCTACCATGCGTGGCTAACTTTTTATTTTAATATATATATATTTTTTTGTGTGTGTGAGCTGGAGTCTCACTCTGTCGCCCAGATTGAGTGCAGTGACCATTCCCGGCCACCGCAGCCTTGACCTGCTGGGCTCCAGCGATCGTTCCACCTCAGCCTTCCGAGTAGCCGGAATTACAGGCGTGAGCTACCACGCCCAGCTAATTTTTTTATTTTATTGTAGAGATGAGGTCTCGCCTGCCCAGGCGGGTCTCGAACCCGCGGGCTCAGGCAATCCAGTCACCTCAGCCTCCCAAAGTGCTGGGATTACAGGCTGAGCCACCGAGCCCGACCATCTTGCCAAATTCTTAACTAAGGGGTCTGGGAAGATGGGCTTTTTACTAACTTCCTCTATATAATATATAATGTAGTTTACTTTTCCAACTGGCTCTGGCATAACCTCACAGAACAAAAAAGGAAAAATCAAAGTATTTTATGTCCCTGCAAAGATGTCTTTTGGGGACTGCCAGTATCTTTTTTGTTGTTGAGTTGGAGTCTCACTCTGTTGCCCAGACTGGAGCGCAGTGAGTGGCATGGTCCCAGCCACCGCAGCCTCGACCTGCTGGGCTCCGGCGATCCTTTCGCCTCAGCCTTCCAAGTAGCTGGAACTACAGGTGTACTACCACGCCCGGCTAAGTTTTGATTTATTGTAGAGACGAGGTCTCGCCAAGTTGCCTGGGTGGGTCTTGAACCCGCAGGCTCAGGCAATCCACTCGCCTCGGCCTCCCAAAGTGCTGGGATGACAGGCTGAGCCACCAAGCCTGGACTCCAGGTATCTTTTAAGACATTTGTTCTCTCCGAAGTCTGTCACCTAAGAAGCTTCATCTACATGTTAAGCAACTTGATTCCCTCATCATTCTTCAAGCAGCCCATTTCCTTTACTGCTTTCAAAATTCCTTAGATAACTCTTTCTGACAAATTGCCAGTCAGGACATCTTTGAATCTACTCATAACCTACATGCGCTCCTGCTCAGAGAGATTCTGTCTTCCTGGGCTGAACCAATGTAAACCTCATATGTATTGATTTACGGTTTCTTGTAACTTCTAGTCTCCTAAAATGAACAAGGGGGATTCCCAAACCCCAAAAT